CCTGGTGATTGGCCCAAAGTCACCCAACCAGCTTTCGTGCCTAAGGCAGGACTATAATTCACTGTCTCCCAGTGATTGGCCCAAAGTCACCTAGCCAATTTTTGTGCCCAAGGCAGGATTAGAACTCCTCGTCTCCTGGAGATTGGTCCAGTCACCCAACAGGCTTTCATGTTTGAGGCGGCAGGACTAGAACTCACTGTCTCCCACTTTTTAGTCTGCCACCTTTAAGAGTAGACCAGAGTGACTTCGAATTCACCCCAGAGATGCTGGTTCAGAGATCCGATGCTAACTATACCCAGACAGTGCGAAGCACAGCAAGCCAAGGATGATGTGAACAAAAAAAGAACCGAGAATTTGGACATCAAAAGGACCTTGAGTACAAATAAAATACTTGTTGTGGCCTGCCAGTTTCAGACAATGAGGAGACTCAGAGGTTGGGGAGGCCGGGGTGATACATGGGCCAGTCCTGGAGTCTGGGGATGGCTCTGACGGGTGCTCTGCCTCAGAGGCAGAGATGGGGCCAGGGCCGTCCAACAGCTATCAGCTGCCTTTGTAATCGGAGATCAGCGGGGAAGAAGAACAGCTGGAGCCTGTACCCAGTGTGTGCATGCACAGAGCTGCCAGACGAAGGGAACAGCTAAGGAACGAGGGTCGACTGGGGAGTAAAGCCACAGGTGGACGGTAAATGGCCCCTCCCAGAGGGAATAAGGAGGAGCAAAAGGAGAGTGGGGTTTGCAGGAGACAATCAGCGTGGCGTTTGGAAGATATCGGCCTGGCAACTCTCCAAGCCTGATCAAGGTCTGTAGTTGTGAAATCTCATGGAAGGGATTGCTGGGACTTTGCTGGAGAGGAATTTGCTTAAACCTAAACCAAAGGGATTTTATCGGGACGAGGAGTTCGGCTTCGTGATCTTGGGAAGCCCAGGTTAGAACAATCACCTCTGCAAGGACGACGACACTGCAGAAGACGCCACGTTCTTGAAATAACAGAACTTTATTTAGAAACTGTTTAAAAGTAGAAAAAAACCCTGTCAAAAGGAGTCTGGTTTTGAATGTCGTTCTAGGGATAACAGGCATTTAGAAGGCCACAAGAGAAATAGCACCTCTGATGTTTTAAATAATGGCTTTCTTTTTTGTCTTTCTTTTGTCTTTCTTTCTTTCCCTTCTTTTTCGTTTTTTTCTTTTGTTTTTGGCATTCGTCCACAATGTGGGTCTCCCGCCGAATTGTCATAAGGAAATCATGCACTACACAACAAGTTACCGTTAACTCTGCTTTCTACACACATCGAGACACACAACCACCGGAAGCAAACGGACAAAAGGAACACAGCAAGCCGGAAGCTTAGTCTTTGCTGTGGCTGGGGAGGACTGGGGGGGAGGGGGGTGGATGTCCCAAACCTCCCAAAGCCCCCTCCCCAAGGAGCAGCCATTGGGGAGGGGAGGAGGAGGTGGTTTGCTCTGCGAAAGAGGGGAGGGGGAGAAGGTCAAGCACAGAATACTGCGATAATCAAAATTCACCGGAACACTCTTTATCTCCAACAACCTCGGCTCGCCTATTTAATACGCAATTCTTCCTCTTTTGTTTTACCACCAGCGCCTGCAGCACCTGTGCAGGTAACTTAAGAGGGAAGGGAAGGGAGGGGAGATAGGCCTGCAACGGAAGCGGGGTGCCCACCCAGGCAGCTCTCAGCGCAGGCTGCAAAAAACCCGTCGAGCGAGAGTGGAGCGTTGCGGCCTTCTCCTCCGATCCTTTTCGGATCCGGCTATCCCTGTTGAAATTATCCTAGCTTGGCGAGAAGGATGCAGCTGTCACCCCAAAACAGGGTTTGTTTGTTGAAAGTAACTGGGTCGGGGTTACTTCGGAAGCAGTGGGGGTTGGGGCAGAGAAGGGAGAGAAGCGCCCCGTACGGAGCGGAGCAGCAAGGGGTTCGGGTGAGGAGTGAGTATCTTATTTAGGCAACTGGAAAGCGCTTGTAGGCGTCAACTCCCAGAATTCCCCGGCCAGCGCGTGACGCGCTGGCCGAGGAATTCTGGGAATTGACGCCCACGAGTGTTTAAAAAAAAAAAAGTTGCCGAGAATGGCCGCGTTGCTTTGGAGGTTACACCAGGCCACAACCAGAGAAGCCAATTTGGGGCAAACCTGCTTCACACCACTATTAAGTCCACTCGCCTGCCACATCCTCAGCCACGCCGGGCCCATTTCTACACGGCCCCGAACAAACTAAGCAAGGAAACTCCAATCTCTCCCCTTTTTTTTATTTCCAAGCGCCTCAAATCCTCCGTCGCTTTACCGGCCCTCTCGGTGCCCCCAATTCGTCCCCTTTCCTCTCCCTGCTGTAAAGACCACCCTTTACAAAGATCCCCTCCTCCTTCTCCTTAGGCAGCCTCTCCTGCAACTCCACCCCCACCCCCACAAACACACCGCACTGCCCCACCGCGCAACGCTGCGTACCCCCCGAAACCCCAAGTTTGTGGAGCCTCTTGCTTCCAAACGACACCAGGTGGAGGGTTGATCTATTCCGCGACGAAAAGTGACCGTAGAGCGCTCTTTCTCTCTCTCTCTCTCACCAAACCCCCCCCCCCCCAAACAAACCACAACAAAACACCCATCGGAAGTGGAAGGAGGGTTGGGAGGGGAAAATAGAAGTAGTAAAAGTGCACTTGGAGAGGTACTCTTTTTTTTTTCGTTTGTTGTTTTGTTTTGTTTTTTTTTTTACTTTCGAAAAGAAACCAGTTTAAGTCCTCTAAGAATAAAACGAGAGTATTTTACAGATAAGCACATGATTGGGGCAAAGATTTCGGGCTTCGGACTGCTGCTGTTCGGCTGGTAAACGTCGGTGGGGGCCGTTTAATACTCCTCTTGCTCCTCCGGAGGGGCTCCTTCATCGGGTATCACGAAGCCTTCCTAGGAGAGAAGGGGGAATCGGAAAATTAAGAAGGGCGGCTGCGCCGGAGGGGGGGGGTTTAGATGGGGGGTCGGTGGCGCGTTCTCCAAGGGTGCCCGGCGGGATGGGCACACGGTATGTGAACGATCAAGCGTGGGACGGCGTGCCTCTAATAGTTCTGGGGGCTCCATCACTGGGGGGGGAGGGGGTGGGGTTTAAGAAGAGACTGGACAGCCATTGGTCTGGAACGCTCAAGGCTGCTTGAGGTTGGACTAGACGACCTTCAAGGTTCCTTCCCACTCTGCTATCCGTGTTTCCCCGAAAATACGACCAGGTCTTATATTAATTTTTGCTCCCAAAGGTGGGTTAGGGCTTGTTTTCTGGTTAGGTCTTATTTGGGGTGAAATACGGTAACTAAAGGCATCCGTCTGGCTGCCAGTCTTAACTAAGCCTTATTTTGGGGGGGTAGGGGTTATATTACAAGCATCTGTGGCCTCTGTGGTGCAGTGGTCAGAGTGCAGGACTGCAGGGCTACTTCTGCTGACTGCCGGCTGCCTGCAATTTGGCAGTTCAAATCCCACCAGGCTCATGGTGGACTCGGCCTTCCCTCCTTCCGAGGTGGGTAAAATGAGGACCCAGATTGTTGGGGACAAGAGGCTGACTCTGTAAACTGCTTAGAGAGGGATGTAAAAGCACTATAAAGTGGTATGTAAGTCTAAGTGCTATTGCTACCTTCCTGCCTTTCACATTTCCTTCCTTCCTCCCTCCCTCCCTCCCTCCCTTCCTTCCTTCCTTCCTTCCTTCCTAAGGTTGACTCAGCCTTCCGTCCTTCCGAGGTGGGTAAAATGAGGACCCAGATTGTTGGGGGCGATAGGCTGATTCTGTAAACTGATTAGAGAGGGCTGGGAAGCACTATAAAGTGGTACATAAGTCTAAGTGCTATCGCTATCCTGAAAAATCATGTTAGGGCTTATTTTCCGGTTGGGTCTTGTTTTCAAGGGAAATAGGATATTCTGTTAAACATCGTAGGAAACGCATGTCGAAATATGCAACAAAATGCCTTCGTTGCATAGAAGCGGGCGGCAAAAGGGCCGAGAACGCACACTTTAAAAAATTAAATACAAATTAATAAATAAAATAAAACGTCGCCAACAGTGAACTGGAAATCACTCCAATGAATCCCAAAGGTGCTTTTTTTCCCCAAAAGACAACCGGACTTTCTTTGGGGGCAGAGGGTTGAAAATGTTTCACTTCTTACTCAAGAACCTTCTCTGGTCCTGGTGCTATTATTTTATTATCATCATCATCTTTGGGATGGTGACATTGGTTCTTTTTGGGGGGGGGGTGTTTTTTCTCTCTTTTGGGAGTGGCCGCATCGGGATTTGGTTTTAATACGTGCCATTTAAGGAAAAATGACCACCAAGGTTATTCAATTCAAGTCGTGCAGGTGAACACCCTGGGAAAGTGCAGAGGAGGAAAAGGCTGGCCCCCCAGTTAGGCCCGAGGCCGAAGTGGGGAGGGCCACTGCCAGATCCCATCGACTTACATCTGTAGCATAAAGTATTTCCACGATTCTCTGGAGGACCGGATCACTTTCGCCTTCGTTCTCCTGGCAGATCAGCTCAATGTTCCTCAGCTTCCCGAAGTAGAAATCTCGTTCCTTTTCTAAATCTTCCACGGTCAACTTTAAGGCATTGATCTGGCAAAAAAAGAATGGCTCGCCTCAGAGCAAGTCGCTGAAGAGACGCTACCGCAGAGTGCGCCGGTGGTGCAAGGGGTGGGGAAGGCGGCACGGCAGGCTGACTCTGCTCAGTCAGCAGTTCGATCCTGACCGGGCTCAAGGTCAACTCTTCCTTCCAAGCTCAGAAAAAGGAGGACCCAAATTGCTGAGGGCAGGAGGCTGACTCTGTAAACCACTCAGAAAGGGCTGGAAAGCACTGTAGAGCCATATATAAGACTAAGCTCCTTTCTTTTCCTTCCCTTCCCTTCTCTTCCCTTCCCTCTTTTCCTTTCCTTTCCTTTCTTTTCCTTCTTTCCTTTCCCTTCCCTTCCCTTTCCTTCTTTCCTTTCCTTTCCTTTTTCCTTTCCTTTCCTTCCCTTCACTTCCTTTCCCTTTCCTTTCCTCTCCTCTCTCCTTTCCTTCCTTTCCTCTCTCCTCTCCTCTCCTCTCCTTTCCTTCTTTCCTTTCCTTTCTTTTCCTTTCCTCTCCCTCCCTCCCTCCCTCCCTTCCTTCCTTCCTTCCTTTCTTCCTATTATTCCTTTCTCTGAGCCCTGGTGGCACTTTCCTTTCCCCTTTCCTTTCGCTTCCTTTTCTTCCTTCCTTCCTCCCTCCCTCCCTCCCTCCCTATTTTTCCTTTCTCTTAGCCCTGGCGGCACAGTTGTTAGAAAGCCGCATTGCAGGCAAGGGGAGAGGGAAGGAGAGAGATTTCTGTGAGTATGGCAGGCATCCGACTAAGCGCATTCGGGTAAGTGGCAGGTGGGGCGCCCCACTCACCCAAACAGAGCTTGAACGCTCACCTCTTGCACAAACAGAGCCTTGTCTGCTGCTTGCATGGCCCGATTCCAAACCGTCCACGGCCTGGAGATTGGGGGCCCTTGTTCTAATCAACTCACAAGTGTGTGTCTCACTCCAGTCCAAGAGGGGCTAACAGACACCCCCCTCCTCCAGGGACCCCTTTGGAGACCCCGTGGTTTAAATTCAGTGTGAAGGGGTTCCACATTTCCATGAGGGAAAACCACAGCTGCCCACATCACAATCAACCATTGGAACAGAAGTTGCCCTCGGAAGTTGTGGGAGCTTCGTCCCTGGAGACTTTCCAGAAGAGACTGGACTGCCCTCGGTCAGAAGTGGGGTAGGCCAGTGGTGGCTAACCTTTTGGGGCTCCTGTGCCACATGCGCGCTTGCATGCCAGCACCCAGGAGACAATGCGCGCACCCCTCCTTGCCCCGGGCGCATGTGTGCGCAATCCCCCCCGCCGCCCCCTTACCTGCACTGCGCCTCACAGCTGATTTTCAGCCCATTTGAGGCCTTGTTTGCCCTCCCAGAGGCTCGAGGAAGGCCTCTGCAGGCTTGGCAGGCCAAAAAATAGGCCCGTTTTATCACTTCTGGTATTTCCGGAAATACAGGAAGTGACGAAACTGGCCTATTTTTCGGCCTCCCAGAGGCTTTCCTCAAGCCTCTGGGAGGCCGATAAAGGCCTCAAACCAGCCGAAAATCAGGCTGTGAGGCACGCGCATGCGCAGTGAGGCAAGTTTGCCTGCAGCTCGCGTGCCGGCACCAATGGCTCTGCTTGCCACCTGTGGTACACGTGCCATAGGTTCTCCATCACGGGTGTAGGCTCTCCTGCTTGGGCGAGGGGGTTGGACTAGGTGACCTCCAAGGTCCCTTCCAACCCTGGTATTCCGTTGAAATTAATCGTGGCTGACAAGACATCTCACACACACACACACACACTCCCGAAAACCCACCTGCTGTATTAATTCGGCCGATTCATCCTCTCCGATTCCCCCGGGGGCCTTTTTGATCATTGGAGGCCCCGGTTTATTCGCCACTGCTGTTCGCTGTGCAACCATGGGCCTCGTTGGGGCTGCAAGAGAGGAAACGCGTTAGCCGCGCTCTGCCGTGGGGGGGGGGGGGGCGCAAGGCCTCGGCACCACTGCCAACCGAAGTGAACGACACCCGAAGTGTGCAACCCGGTGTGCTACGCAAAGCCCAGAGAAGAGAGGGAAGCACCTCCTTCCACCCGTTTAGTACCGATTGTAGCAGTTTTCTTTAAGGACAGAAGAGACTCGGCTCTCGCTGCCATCGGTTCCGAAGTCCCCACAACACTGTTATCTACAAAAAGAGAAGGTTTCTAACCAGGACGCACAAACACAAGGCACTTCGCAACCGTAACATCTCGGGATCATCCTCCTCTCCTTTTAATGACCCCATGATCCCTTGCTTCGGGGTGGAGTCTGGGCAACCGAAGGGAGCTGAGCATTTCCTGGCCAGATGCCCTGCCTGTTGCCAATGCGGAGTTTTGTTCAGCAGATGTATTCTCATGGTGCCCAGAGAGAGAAATATCTGCCTCTACCCAGGATCGAACTCACAGCCTCCTGATTGTGAGGCGAGAGCTCCACCTCTAAGCCTTGCACCACTCAGTGAAGGAAATCACTCATCATCTTTTAATGACCCCATGATCCCTTGCAGGCTGGAGTCTGGGCAACTGAATGGGGCTGAGTATTTACTGGCCGGATGCCCTCCCTGTCGCCAATATGGAGTTTTTTTCGGCAGATATATTCTCATTGTGCCCAGAGAGAGAAATATCTGCCTCTACCCAGGATCAAGCTAATTAGTAAAACTAACTAGGACGCACAAACACAAAGCACTTTGCAATCGTAAGATCTCGGGATCGTCATCCTCTTCTTTTAATGACCCCATGATCCCTTGCTTTGGGGTGGAGTCTGGGCAACTGAAGGGAGCTGAGTATTTCCTGGCCAGATGCCCTCCCTGTTGCCAATGCGGAGTTTCGTTCAGCAGATATATTCTCATGGTGCCCAGAGAGAGAAATATCTGCCTCTACCCAGGATCGAACTCACAGCCTCCTGACTGTGAGGCGAGAGCTGCCACTCAATTACAAGATCTCGGATGAAACACTGAAAATGCCAGGCCTCCCCATCCCGTCTGCATGGCTGAGGAAGAGCAGAATGAACGGGCGACTTCAAAACAATTCCCCTCCCTCCTAATTTGGGGGAAACAGATGTTGAGGGCTTGCAAAACTTAGCATCGGGCAACGGCCTCCACCGGCGCCCTCCATTTTACGAAGGCTGCACTGGCTGGATTGTGAAAGAACTGCACAGCTGGACGGTTGCTCTAGGGTCGATCTCGATGTTGAGGAACGAACAAGACCGCTCCCGCTGACAAGGCAAGCCACTCGTTTATGAACGAAGAGCAAACCCCACTCCCTTCTGGCACTGATGACGTTACCTAGCTGGGTCATGAAACGTCTGCAAGAAAACCACCACGCTCAGAGAGCACCAAGGAGCCCACCGTTCAATCCCGATCTAAAAATATCCTCTTCTACGGGCGTCTCAGTTCTAGAATTCCTCTGATAACGGAGGTTGTACACTTGCGTGTGGGAAAATGAAATTAACTGCTGTATCTCCCCAAGACGCTGCTTCAAGGTCACTCGGCTGGGAGAAGAAACTGCCGACCAAGCTACACTTGGAAGTGACTTCTGAGCGCACCTTGCTTGAATCTGACTGGGCATGGAAGGGCCGGTGACGGGGGGGCAGGTAAGGGAGGGGAAAAGTTGGATTTAGGGATTGGGGCGCGCAATGCTCCGTGTTCTGGCTTTGCGTTAGCGCGATACACTTGGCTTCTGATAAAGCTACACCTTTCTCAACCAACAGGAGGCCAAGGATCATTTCTAAGTAGAGGTTTAAAACATGGCAAGCCTGACAGGTGTAGCCTTTAAATCAAATCACTGTCAGGATTCCGGCAGTGACGCCGATTTAAATCACGGGTCTCAAGCCAAACTTCCAAAACTTCGAAAGGATTTATTGGGAGTTAACATGTGCATGGGTGTAGCTGACTCTGAGACACATCATTCCTTGTCACCCTTGACCCTGGTTTTCCACCCACCCCCTGGGTGTATCGTAATTCCTATTCTCCAATGGGACACCTCCATAGCCCAGAGTCCTCAATCATGCTCTCCAGTTAGATATTTATAATTAAGATTATATTTATAAATATATAGATTTTTTTTTTTTATATCATATCTATAAAATGTTTTTTAGGATAGATTTGGTATGATTACATGATTTGTTATAAAATAAACTAAGTAAATTATAGTTATCTCGCAAAGTATGTATGGATAAAATTGTAGTCAAATGATGGTTTAATAGTGATACTAGGGTATTTAATTTTTGATTGATAATATGAGTTATTATGTAATTTAACTGTAATTGAGACTATGAAATGGATGCACAAAAAATCGGTAAACCAACCGACACAGTTTGTATATTTATGAAAGAAAGCTGGATCTTTTTATGTTTGTTTTGTTTTTAAAAACCAATAAAATTGTCTTTTAAAAAAAAAAAGATATTTGCGCGCAGAAACTTCAGTCTCCTACTTCCTATCTTTGAAAACATTTATGGAATGCACTTTCAGTTTGCAAGCTGCTGCGCTGCTCCCCCCTCCCTTTCTCTTGGCAGCCCTAAAAAGACCAGAGGAATATTTTATGAATTGACAATCACCACCACACCTTGGCCAGGATAACCTTGTACATTTTGCCACGTTAATGAGCGTTAACTTCCAACCTGGCGAGCAACGCCACCCAACCCAGGCCAAGGCACAAAGGAGGAGGCCTGAGATGCTGTCTGGGGATGTTCCCTTCCTGCCCCCCCCCCCCCAGATGTTGGGACTGCTTCTCCCGTCATCCCCAAACAGACAACCTGGCCCAGGTCGGAGCCCTAGAACTTCCAAGCGCCCATGGCGCCCGAAGCAAAGCCTCTCTCTCTCGCTTACCTGTGCCCCCGGAGCCCAGGTTCTTCTTAGGTTTGTTCAGTATCGGGACCACCAGAGCCGGGGCGGGACACGTCTCCTGGCCTTGCCGAGCTGCCACGGGGTCGTAGTCCTTTCCGTCGTAATTGGCATCGAAGAATTTCTTGAACCACTGAACAAATTCGAAATTGTCTTGGAATTTCCCCTTCACTAATTTGTCCACAGGTATTATCTGAGGAGAGAAGTTAAGGACATTTAGCCCGGAGGAGAAATGTAGTCCAGATTTCTAGCAGAGAGGTTTCTAAAAGCAGGACAGGGAGTGCTCGATTTACGACTGGCCGTTTAGTGACCATTTGAAACTCCGACGGACGTAACAGGGAAAGCACTTGTCACTCAAAATTCAAAGTTCTTATAGTCTTCCCCCTCATTCGCGTGACTGCGCTTTGGGCCACGTCTACATTTGTTTGCTGCGTTCTGCAGTCGTGTGTCTCTGTTTTACCACGGTTCTGCCAAAAAACCCTGGCACTTAAATCAGGTTTACGGCAAAACTACCCTATAACGAGAACCACTGGCTTGTTTCCCAATGGCTGGGAAAAACTGTCATAAAATCGATGAGAGAGAGAGAGAGAGAGAGAGAGAGAGAGAGAATTCTTCAGCCCCGCATGGCTGGCTGAGGAATTCTGGGAGTTGAAGTCCACAAGTCTTACAGTTGCCAAGTTTGGGGATAACTGTTCTATGCCGTGCATGACAGGATCCTAGAGAACATTCTAGAATTCTGTTTGAATTCCTTGCCAATATTTTAAGAGGTCTATCCTCTCTCTCTCTTGTTGAGGTAACCGACTCTTAAATCCTCTCTTCCGACAGCTTAGCTCTTAATTCTCTGATCATCTTCGCCGTCCTTCTCTGAACCTTAAATTATTATTGGGAATTAAAGAGGAGTTAACTAAATGATGGATAAGGTAAAAGGGGGGTAGACTCAAATGGGTAATAGTGGGGGGAAATCTTTTGAATTGTTTGAATTGGGATGGAATTTTTGAAATGATGTAACAACCTGCAATGAAATGACAGATAAAGGTATAAAGTTTAATGAATATGAAGACATAAGAATTAAAGTTAAGAGAAATAGGTCAAGAAATGAATAGTATATAAAATAAGTTTGAGAAAAGTATTTGAGCAAATTTATAGAAAACATGTAATGATAGGATATGAAATCAAATGTGAAAGATGAATGTGTAACTAAGGTCATGTTTGTATGAAAATGTGAAAACCTGGAATCATGCTGTTCACTAAAAAAGATGTTTTTGAAATGTGAAACAATCAAAAACTTTTTACAAAAAAAAAAGGAAAGAAATTTGGGGCTGGAAGGGACCTAGGAGGTCCTCTATCCCAACCTCCTCTTCCCTGCCCTTAGCCAGAGAGACAAGAGAGGTCGGGTCTCCCCAAAGCAGAACAGAGTGGATTTATATCTTCGCGTGACTTGGAAATTATATATTCCTCCAGAAAAAAGGACATTTTCACAATAGGCCACTGAAAGACCAAATTGCGTTTCTTCCCTCAGGACCCAATTTGTTTACATAGGAAAAGGTAGGATGATGATCTATTCTCCAGAGCTCCTGAAGGCCGGACAAGAAGCAAAGGATGGAAACTAGCCCAGGAGAGAAGCAACCTGGAATTCAGGAGGAATTTCCCGACGGTGAGAAGAATTCACCAGTGGAACAGAAGTTGCTTCCAAAACTTGTAAATGCTCCCAACACCGCATCCAATTTAGGACACCACACTATAAAAAAGATGTGGAGACTCTAGAAAAAGTGCAGAGAAGAGCAACCAGGATGATGAGGGGACTGGAGGCTAAAACATAGGAAGAACGGTTGCAGGAACTGGGCCTGGCTAGTCTGCTAAAGAGAAGGACCAGGGGAGACAGGAGAGCATCTTCCAATATTTGAGGGGCTGCCCCAGAGAGGAGGAGAAAAGGGGTCAAGCTATTCTCCAAGACACCCGAAGGCCAGACAAGGAACAATGGATGGAAACTGATCAAGGAGAGATTCAACCTGGAAAGAAGGAGAAACTTTCTGACAGAGAGTACAATCAACCCATGGGAATAAAAGTTGCCTTTGGAAGTTGTGGGAGCTTCATCACTGGAGGCTTTCAAGAAGAGACTGGACTCCGACATGTCAGAAATGGTGTAGGGTCTCCTGCTTGGGCGGGGCGTTGGGGTTGGACTAGAGGACCTCCGAGGTCCCTTCCATCTGTATTCTGATCGATTGGCCTTGGTAGAGGCCGGATCAAGTGGCGGAAACTCAGTGGGACAGTATTTCTCAACTTCAGCCATTTTACAGCCTCTTCCAACACTTTCATTCTCTAGTTTTCTTTACACGATCGGCTCCTTGATTTCCTAAAGGTGTCAAAACACCGGATACAATTAGGACCCTGAACAGAACGACGGAAGGGACCTCAGAGGACTTCTAGTCCAACCCCGGGCTTAAGCAGGAAACCCTGAACCATTTCAGGCAAATGGCTGTCCAATTTCGTCCCCGTCATCTGTATTTGTGAGAAGGACCAAAACAAAAAAAAAGGGGGAGGAAAGATAGGCATTGCGTAAATTCCAAGGTTTGCCCAAACTTCCTGTTACTTTATTCAATCTTCAATTGCTACAAACTTCCCTATGAGCAAGAAAGCTAATCTTTGTTATTTACTCACACCAAGGTCTTGCAATCCACTGATTGCCAGCTGCTGTTTGGAAACACACACCTTTTTTTTTTGGTAACATCTAGCCTATAAAAACTTCCTCCGAGAACGTGAAAGCATGCAACTTCTTTTCTTGGGCGCAAATAAAGATTCTTGCCTGTTAAGAGGCTTGGGGTGCTATTCCTACAAAGTGAAAAAAGCTAGAAGTGGTTTGCATTTTTTTAAAAAACAGAAATTTATGTGACTTGGAGGTGGGGCGGAATAATAAAGACTTTGCATTAACGTGTGTCAAAAGCCCTGGTCTTTCAGAGCAAACTGGCTGGGCCCAACTGAACCAAGGGGGTTAACTCACATCATCCCTGTTTTCCCAAACTAACTTGGATAGTTGCAAGGCTGCTACTTGCTTGGTAACATCTCCCTGGTGTGGCTATGAAATGAGGTGTTACCACTTAAAGGAAATGTCTCTCAACCGTGGCAGCTTTTAAGATGGGTGAGAGGTTCTCAGACATCCAGGCCACGATCGTCCCAAAGGTGCTTTTTACAAGAGGCAACTGGACTTTCTTGTTTCTTCTTCTGAAGACGTTTCGCTTCTCATCCAAGAAGCTTCCTCAGGTCTGAGTGGATGATTGGGAAGGGAAAGATTTATGCTCCTTGTGGAGACCTGGTCATCTGATCCTTTTAGAGGGCAGTTGAGGCCACTTGGAGGTTTATCGGTGTCCTCAGGGTCACCTGAGTGGTCAAATGGTTCCTGAGTCTGCAATTTTTTCCCCTGGGAATCCATTCCTCCTCCCACACCATTCCAGGGGTGTTCATCCCAAATTGTGTAGCTAAAAGTCTGCAGAGATTCTCCGTCATCCAGGTCACGGCTGTCCCAAAGGTGCTATTTTTTAATAGGCAACTGGACATTTTTTCTTTTGAAGACCAGCCTTCTGGGAATTGAAGTCCCACCCACCCCCCACCCCACAATCTTAAAGCTGCCAAAGTTCAGAAAAGCTGACTTTAAGGCCTATGCAAAAGTTGGATCTTCCAATAAATAGGACCCATATGATCCAGTTCCGGCCCACACAATTACGTTGGGATGAAATTCAGACGGCAGACAACTGCAGATCTGAATAGTTCCCTTTGCTTTTCTTTAGCAACAGGGAACAACGAGAGCAGCCTGCTTCTCCGATGGCTGAGCACACCACCTTTCAGGTCAACCATCCACCTGATTTGGGTCCCAACCTGTGGCACACCACAATGATCTCCTCCGAGGAGAGAGGGAAGAAAAGACACACAAAAGAAGGGGGGGAAAATTGCCTGATACAGAATTGAGCCCCTGGTCCTTTTACCCCAATACGGTCAAGAAACATAAGGAAGAGTGGTATTCTGCAGTTTTTTTGCAGCTCTGATAACCTGTTTAGAAATGAAAGCTTTTGGCTAAAATGGATCCTAATTTAAATCCAAACTGTTGGAAATGTAAGCAAATACAGGGTACCTTCTTTCACGTATGGTGGCTTTGTCCAAAAGTTAAGAAATATTGGACCAAAATACGAAAAGGGTTAAAAGAAATTACGAAAGTCCAAATAGAATTTAAAGCAGAATTATTCCTTCTGGGAATTATTAAAGGGAATTATACAAAAGAGATAAAATATTCAATCCTGCATATAATAACAGCAGCGAGATTAGTGATCACATAATATTGGAAAGGAGATTCTATGCCGACAGAATGTTTAATCATCCAAAAGATCTTTGACTGCACGGAAATGGACAAACTTTCATTAGAATTAAAAGGATGACTCAGTTTATTATAAAGTGTGGGAAAATTGGTACCATTGGATAAACGATCAAAATAAGCAATTAAATAAATAAGGAATGTATAATTTAGAAAGATAGGGATATGAACAAATAAGAGTATAAAATATGCACTGTAATAATTGAAATGTAAGCACTGTCAAAATGGATTGTAACATACATAACACTCTCATTTTAAATATTTTGTATTTTGTATTTTAATAAATTTTGTAATAAAGGTAATTTTTAAAAAAGAAAGCTTCTATAGATAGTCCTCGACTTACAACAGTTCATTTAGTGACCGATCAATATTACAACATCACTGAAAAAAGTGACTAGGACTATTTCTCACACCTAGAACCATCGCTGCATGCTTGAGTTGCATGAATTTTGATACTATGATCAAAATTCAGAGGCTTGGCCACTGGCATGTACTTATGACGGTTGCGGTGTCCCAGGTCACGCGATTCCCCTTTTGCGACCTTCTGGTAGGCAAAAGGGGGAACCAGATTCGCTTAACAACCATGTGACTAACTTAAGAACTGTCAGGGATTCACTTAACAGCTGTGGCAAGGAAGGTCATGAAACAGGACAACCTTCATTTCACCGCTGTTTTGCTTACCAACACAAATTCCCTGGCTGAAGCGTTGGACTACCTGAACTTGGCAATCAATATCACCGATGAATCCTGATCCCCAAGACAGGTGATTTCTCAACCTTGGCAATTCTAAGGTCCTGGCTAGGGAATGCTGGGAGTTGAAGTTCTGCCCATCTGCCAGGAGCCAAGTTTGAGAAACACAGAAATCCCCAATCCAATTTGCATTTGAAAGACAGCAAGTGAGTCAAAACCATTCATGGGGAAATTAGCATGTGAAAACCCACATTCCTTCTGCCTTTTCCAGTAATTCAAGGGCAGCAATCTAAGCATTCTTTTACTCCCACAATCTAAGAAGGGTTAGTTGTTTTTCGATTGACCTGTATTTCACATTCAGAGAGGGACTCCCTGGGCGGCGTACATGAGAATATAAAAAGAGTACATGAAATTTTAAATTTTAAAAGGAGGCAAGCATAGCTGAGTGCTGCTAAATTTAAAATTATATGCTATAAAGCTTCTGAAAATTCAAATAAATGTCTTTCCACAGAAAAAGAGACTAGCCAACAGGAGCATCTGGAGCTCTAACTCAATCACAAAATATCTGGGAATAGAGAAGTCTTTCAAGAGGTTTATTATTAGTCATATCTTGACAAAGATTAAAACCTCCCTCCCCCAAAAACAACACAAACAAGGAACTTCTCTGGTTTTGAGCCACATGTCAATACGGGCAGAAATGGCACAAACTCCAACTTGACAAGAAAAATACCTTCCTACTTGATAAAATAAAAATCCCACCTTATTATATTCAGCAGTACGTTAACAGGTGATTGGCACACCAGCTACACACATGTTAAAAAATGAAGTACCAAGCACTGCTTTTCCTGGAAAAGGTACGTCATAAAGCTGAAAAATGATTCCAGTTTTGTTGAAAGAAATATATCTGGATTAAATTGAACAAGACTGGGGGAAGAAAAAAGAACCACACCAGTATTACTGAACGTTAATTTGAAAACTGAGAGGGGGGGAATGCTGGCCTCTGGCAAATATTCTAAGTAAATAAATATTCAAAATAAATCAATGTGGAGGTCTTAGGCCGCAGCCAAAAAAGAAAGAGCCAAGGAAACTTATGCCAGTCCTCCAAGCTGCAACATCCCCTAAAGGTGACACCTGAGGAAAAAGTTCTGAAGTTCTTACTTTGTCAACACCCATCCGCTTAAAACCTGCTTGTAGGACCTTGAAATTCTGAATGTATTCGTGTTCCAACTTCGCTTGGAATTTCACTTTCTTGAGCGTGACGGAACCCGGGAAGAGCATGTCCATAAACTGACAATAAGCAGCACCTGGCCAAGAAAGAGAGAGAGAGAAACATCTTGGTGAAACTTAGATCTTAGCCAAGGTATTTAGGGTAAAAGATCAGAATCTCTGCATTCCTTTGTGGCTGCCAATCCTGTTTTCTGTGGGAGGCAGCGTGGCAGGAGAAATTTGGGGGAGGAACTTAACTCAAACAATTGGGTGGGAAAGAATGTCAAGGACGAGAGAAACCATTCTTGGAGTCTTTTAGGCGTCTTCCTCTTCGCACAGCAGGGAAGGAACTGGCTGAAGGTGACTGGAAGGGGGGGCATCTTTTCCCATCTACCCAACCCACCTGAGAGGGGGGACAAAGGATGTGATGGATCCCCTCTCTTAAGGGAGGTCCATGGGGGGGGGGGAGGGAACCCATGGTGGTGGCTTCCTCCCAGTTATTGGAAGGACCATCTTTTCCCAGCTATATCCACCCAAACCACTTGGTTGGGAAGACAAAAAATGTTACGGCCCCTCCCTTAAGAGAGGCCCATCTGGTGGACCAAAAATGAATGAATGAATGAATGCTTTATTGGCCAAGTGTGATTGGACAGACGTGGAATTTGTCTTTGGAGCAAATGCTCTCTGTGTACATAAAAGCAAACATACATTTGTCAAGAGTCCAGAATCATCAGGTACAACACTTAATAATAGTCAGAGGGTACAATAAGAATAGAAGAATAGAAGAGAAGAGAATTCTTTATTGGCCAAGTGTGATTGGACACACATGGAATTTGTCTTGGGTGCAAATGCTCTCTGTGTACATAAAAGAAAAGACACATTTGTCAAGAATCATCAGGTACAACACTTAGTAATAGTCATAGGGTACAATAAGCAATCAAATCATACTAGGAAATAATATAAATCGAAAGGATACAAGCGACAAAGTTACAGTCATAGAGTCACAAGTGGGAGGAGATGGGCGATAAGAAGTGATGAGAAGTTTATTGGTAATAGTAGTGCAGATTTTGTAAATAGTTGGGACAGCGTTGAGGGAATAATTTGTTCAGCAGAGTGATGGCGTTCGGGGAAAAACTCCCCTTGTGTCTCGTTGTTCTGGTGTGCAGGGCTCTATAGTGTCGTTTTGAGGGTAGGAGCTGAAACAGTTTATATATCCGGGATGTGAGGAGTCTGTAAATATTTTCCCAGCCCTCTTTTGGACGCCTGCAGTATACAGGTCCTCCATGGAAGGCAGGTTGGTAGTAATGGTTTCCTTCTCCCTCTTATTTGAAGGGCCACCTTTTCCCAGGTCTATCTACCAGGCCCACCTGAGTAGAGAGGCAGGGGATGTTACAAGTCCCCTCTCTTAAGGGGGTCCCTCAAGAGGACCTTCTCCATGGTGGCTCCCTCTGTGTGGAACATCACCCCCGTGGAGATAAGATTGCGTTCCCCTTGACACTATTTCCAGCGGCTCTGAAGACATGGTTTTCCCAAGGGGTCTGGGGACCCCAGGTGATATGGAGCTCATCAGGTGGTTGGTCCGATTTTCATCACCGATGGCGGAGGAGGGGGGGGATTTTACTGGTTTATTGGGGGTTTTATTTCTTGTAAGTCGCCTGGATTCACCATGAGTGAGCTGGGTGGGCTGTATAAACTTTCTTGATGGTAAATTTGCCGAATGAGCCACCCACAAAGAACTTCTGAAAGTCATAGTTGAGGCTGCTCTCCAGAAAGGCCAGCCGCCAAACTGGATGACTCTCTTCCTTGAATGCCGTTGCGTCTGTTGTTGGAACAGCTGGGTGACAAGACAACCGATACAACTCTTTCCAAAACTGCTGTCAAGCTTGAAACACGTTTTTGCTGTTGCAACTGGTATCGCTTCTCGGCTTGCCAAGGCACCAGGGGGAAGGGAAGGGTGAGATGGAACGTAGTAGGCTCCAGACATCAAGAAGCCGAGCCGTGAAAGCCAAGGACACTTCAGCGGGTGTTGGCCAAAGCCAAAGGGTTTTTCTCATAGCAATAAAGAGAGACTCAATTGGACAATGTGACCTGCTCTAATGGGGAGAAGGGAGAGTCCTATATTTTAATTATGTGGGTTTGCGCGGGAATTAGCTAGAGCAGGTTCTGCCTTCTTTGGTGCCAAAACTATGTACCCAGTAAGTTTTTGCCTTCAGAGAAAAAAACAACTCCTGGGATGGAAGAGGAGGTTTGAAACAGTCAAGATGATTAATTAAAAGGAAGCTGATTACAAGGGCAAATCGGGGATCTGGTCACTCAGGTTTAACTGCCGAAAGGATCCGGAATGGGCTCTGAGACAGATTAAGAGAGAATAACAAGAGTTGGGAGGGACTTTGTAGGTCATCTAGTCCAACCCCCCCACCCACCCAAGCAGGATACCCTACACCAGTTCTGACTGATGGCAGTCCAGTCTCTTCTTGAAAGCCTCCAGGGATGAAGCTCCCACAACTTCTGAAGGCAACTTCTATTCCATGGGTTGATGGTTCTCCCTGTCAGCAAATTCCTCTTTATTTCCAGGTTGAATCTCTCCTGGATCAGTTTCCATCCATTATTCCTTGTCTGGCCTTCAAAGGTGCTTTGGAGAATAGCTTGACCCCTCTCCTCCTCTCTGGGGCAGCCTCTCAACTATTGGAAGGCTGCTCTCCTGTCTCCCCTGGTCCTTCTCTTCCCTAGACTAGCCAGGCCCAGTTCCTGCAACCGTTCTTCATATATTTTAGTCTTCAGTCCCCTCATCATCCTGGTTGCTCTTCTCTGCACTCTTTCTAGAGTCTCAAAATCTTTTTTTTTTTTTTTTTGCAAATCAGGCTGTTATGAGAGGGTGTTGGAAGAGTTTTTAGCTTAAACGCTTTCAAAATGCTTGAAATAGCAAGCGTGGAACTCGAAACACCCGTTTCACAATGAGGGAGGAAGCTTCAATGAAAAGTGAAGTTCCAAGAAGGTTACACACCCATTTGCACTCTGATTCAGGTGACCCCCAAGGGCACAGATAAGCCCTCAGAGAGAGGACTAAAGACCAGATGACTGCAAGGAATTATAAATCTTTCCATCCACCACCGTTCAGGCAGAACTGAAGAAGCTCCTTGGATGAGGAGCGAAACGTCTTCAAGGAAAAAACTAGAAAGTCCAGCTGCCTTATGGGAAAAAAAAAACACCTTTGGGGGACAACCATGACTTGGGTGGCCGAGATTTTCCATAGACACCTTCACTGTAAAATAAAGTGCTCAAAAGAGTTCAAGGCAACCCAGTTTGTGCACCCCAATGAATTACAGGAGGTCCTTGACCTGCAGCCATTCATTTAGTGACGGTTTGCAGTTGGGAATGTACAGAAGCTTCTTATGGTGAATATAACATTGAAAATAGATTTTCCTTCTTCTTCTAGGACTGCAGAGTGTCTGACTTACAACCAGGGATGGGAGAAGGACCAGAGGAGACCCCCAAATCCCACCCCTGGCTGGTCCCGCCTACCTCACCTCTCCCAGAAGTCCCCATGTGGCCCGTTTTGGATGCAGGTAAGGGCAGGGGGCGCACAGAGTCTCGAGGGTGGAAAATGGGCCTCCTGGAAGTTCGGGAAGGCCGGAAATGGGTCCATTTCCGGCTTCCAGAGAGCCTCCGGAGCCCGGGGAGCAACCCCCCCCGCCATGGTGCAGGGGGCCGACTAAGCCACGCCCACCATGGCCACGCCCACCCAGCAACCGGGCAGAGAACCCTTTGCTAAAATTTTTGAAGCCCAACCCCGCTTACAACCGTCCATTTAGTGACCGTCTGAAGTTCACTGTGACTTCTGACCGTTTTTCACATCTATGACCGTTGTAGCATCGTCACGTGATCAAAGTTCAGAGGACTGACAACCGACTCGTATTGATGACGGTCACAGCGATCCCCTTTTTGTGACCTTCTGACGAGCGAAGGTCAACGGGGGGGAAGCCGGATTCGCTCAACAACCGTGTCATTAAATTAAGAACCGCAGCGATTCACTTAGCAACCGTGCGGCTAACTTTTAACCACTGCAGAGATTCAACTTAACGAGGGTGGCAAGAAAGGTCGTAACGTGAGGCAAAAACTCGTTATTTAACAACGGTTCTGCTTGGCAAAGGAAATGTGGGGGCACCACTGTGGTCGTAAGTCGAGGACTACCTGTGATCTTATTTGCACTGTATTTTAAAACAACAGATTTTTTTTAAAAAAAAAACCTGCAAGGTTGCTGTCACTACTGCAGACTCATTTCCTGTGAGGCTTCATCGCCAAGGAAAAAGTCTCCATCGGTATGACAAGCGCAGGCGGCCTTCCGCGGGGACCAGTGCGCTAATCTGCAAAACAACAGCTCCCGCAGCCTTTTCTCCTGCAGAGTCCGATATTCGGCTTTAGAAAGACTTTCCAAATATTCAGATAAAAGGACAGAAAGGAGAAGTGCAACGAAGAGCAACGAAGAGGTTTAGCCTCCAGTACGAGACTTGAAGGTTAAAACATACGAAGAACGGTTGTGAGAAATGCGTGTGTCTAGTTTAAGGAAAAGGAGGGTTAGGGGTGACATGATGGCCGTCTTGCAATATCTGAGGGGCTGCCCCAAAGAGGAGACAGGGGTCAAGCTATTCTCCAAAGCACCAAAGTGTCAGGACAAGAAGCAACGGGTGGAAACTGATCGAGGAGAGAAGCAACTTAGAACTAAGGAGGAATTTCCTGACAGTGAGAACAATTAACCAGCGGAACAACTTGCCTCCAGAAGTTGTGGATGCTCCAACAATGGAAGTTTTTAAGAAGAGATTGGATAACCATTGGTGTCTGGAATGGGTTAGGGTTCCCTGCCTGAGCAGGAGGTTGGGCTAGAAGACCTCCAAGATCCAACTCTTTTATTCTGTTAACAGTATTGCAAACTCTGTCAACTATCTGGTGTTCGATCCTGAAATGACTCAGCCTTCCCTCCTTCCCAGGTGGGTAAAATGAAGACCCAGATTGTTGGGGGCAAGAGGCTGACTCTGTAAACTGCTTAGAGAGGGCCAGAAAGCACTCAAGTGGCATATAAGTGCAATTAATTAATTCCTTCCTCCCTTCCCCTCACCCCTCTTCACTGAGCCTTGGTGGTGCTAGGATTAGAATGCAGTATTGCAGACTCTGCCCACTGCCAGCAGTTTGATCCTGACTGGCTCAAGCTTGACTCAGCCTTCCGTCGTACGGAGGTCAGCAAAATGAGGAACCAGATGGTTGGGGGCAAGAGGCTGACTCTGTAAACCGCTTAGAGGGGGCTGGAAAGCACAGTGAAGCGGCATATAAGTTTCTAAGGGCTATTGCTATTCAGCCCTCCATTATTTTGCCCACATAAGACATTTCAAGGTACATCTAACACAACACAACTGCACAGAAACTTAAAGACACACGTAAGATACTACACCACCACCCCACGGAAAGTGGTGCAGGTAGAATCTCCTTCTATACCCTAGGAGGGTAAAGTGAGCATACCAAGTAGAAGGTTCACGAAGATTGGGCCAATGCTACAAAGGCAATACACCTTCTATGTCACCTTTGTTGAGCTGGGTGGGTGTAAGTTTGTTCAAATACATTTACACTTCAGACACAAGGTAAGCAACTACCCACCAAAGAGCGATCGTGACCGTTTCCAACTGCTTAAAAGGAGGAACAGTAAGGAGCAAAGCTTACCTGAACAAAGTTGCTCTATCTTGGTTAAAGTTAACTGTAACGACTCGTTGATCCAGGCGAGCATGTCATGTCGGCTTAAGTTATCACTCGTCACAGAGGTGGAGTACACATTCACGGCCATTTTCTAAAGGAAAATCGATTGAGAGGGGAGACAGCTTTACCCCAGAGTCCAGAGTCATACCTGTTCCTAGACATCATCTGAATCAACATCATTTTAGGGCACTCTCTTATAAGCTCAGTTTGCCGGAGAGAATGTAGCTCAGTGCTTCTCAATCAGGGCAATTTTAAGATGGGTGGAATTCAATTCTCCAATTCCCAGAGTTCCCCCTGCCAGCATATGCACAGCCAAAAGGTTTACTCCACTCTGTGTGCATGTGTGTGTGTGTGTGCACGCCTGCATATATGTGTGTGCATATATTATACATATATATGTATATGCATAATATAGATGCATATATGTGTAAATATGTTACACGTATAATATGTATATATTATATATATTATAATTAGATGACCCAGGTTGTTGGGGGCAATATGCTGGCTTTGTAAACCACTTAGAGAGGCTTGTAAAGCACTGTGAAGCGGAATATAAGTCTAAGCGCTATTGGTAAGTAGGGAGGGAGGGAGGGAGGGAGAGAGGGAGGGACGGCCATGGTGGCATAGTAGTTAGAATTCAGGATTGCAGGCTAACTCTACCCACAGCCTGGAGTTTGATCCTGACCAGCTCGAGGTCGACTCAGCCTTCCGTCCTTCCGAGGTGGGTAAAATGAGGACCCAGATTATTTGGGGGGCAAGAGGCTGACTCTGTAAACCGCTTAGAGGGGGCTGTACAAGCAACGTGAAGCGTATATAAGTCTAAGTGCTATTGCTATCTTCCTTCCTGTTAGAATGCAGCATTGCAGGCCCACTGCCAGGAGTTCGATCCTCACTGGCTCCAGGTTGACTCATCCTTCCATCCTTCCGAGGTGGGTAAAATGACGACTCAAAATTGTTGGGGGCAAGAGGCCAACTCTGTAGACCACTTAGAGAGGGCTGGGAAGCACTGGGAAGCTGTATATACCAGTAAGTCTAAGTGCTATTATAATACACACACGCATTGTAGGCATAATGGCCTACCAGAAATGAGGAGGAAAATATTCATTAACAGCTGATTCATCTAACTTTTCTGTTAGGAGGGATATGGTGTCTCCTGCTATGCATAGACGGGAGGCGAATTCACACACACACACACTCACACACACCTAAAAGGAACTGACGAATAGATCTAACACCCTTAGACCCAAAGGACTAGGAAATTAGTTAAGGGGGAGGGAAAAAGAAAGTTAATGGGGTCAGAGATAGTTGAAGGTAATTATAGGATGAAAGTTTGGGTTTTAAGTAGCAATGATTCCTCAGAAGGTATGAGGATCAAAAGGAAGCAAGCAATGATGGCTAATAATGGACATTAAGGAAAATATTTGAAGCTCAGGGTTGAAATGAGGGGGTCCTTGGTGGTCTCTGACCTTGGTGGTTTTCTTCCAGACGTTTCATTACCAAACTATACTATCAGTAGTAGGCAGTGAGGTTTGCTCTCGTTTTTATAAATGCAAGAAAACCATCGATCTCAGGGAGCACCAAGGACCCCCACAGTCCTCCTCCTCCAACCTATAAACCCCACTCCCTTCTAGCACTGATGATGTTACCTAGTTCGGTTATGAAACATCTGCAAGAAAACAACCAAGCTCAGAGAGCACCAAGGACCCCTCACAAACAGAGATTATTGGAAACAGAAGCCAGAAAAGGGGAATTACTTCAGCAACCACCACTGCAGGGAGCAGAAGATGAAGATATCATCATCAGAATGGAAGGGGCCAGACTACCTATGGAACTCTAGGGCACCTTGGAGGTCTTCTAGTCCAACCCCCCCACACACACACACTTCTCAAGCATGGGAATTCTGGATGTTGAAGTCCAGACCTTTTCAAATTGCTGAATTTAAAAAACACTGCAGAGGAGGATGGAGAGGATTTGAAGGACTCCCGTGATGCCTGTTATGAAGTCTAAGGAAACAGGTTGATATTCCTAGAGTCACCCAAAACAATGAGATGGCAGTACATAAATTAAATTTTATTATAAACAGTAACAGATAAATAAAAGTCCTTGTGCAAGATTATAGGAGAGGAGGCACCCAACTGGGCTTATAACTACGGTCCTCCTCCTCCTTTCCAGCCAGCGGTGAGGAAAAAAAAATGAAAACCAAACTCAGCAATTTCCAAGGACAGCCAGCTTTCTTGCTTCCGAGATGAAA